AGGAAGCCCGGAAAAGCAAAAGCCGTTGCGCCACTTGGGACGTCCAACCTTAAAAACGGGCACAAAGTGGGTGGGGCGAGCCTCGAGTCCGAGCCCACGGCTCCGATTTTCGCCAAGCCCTTCATTTGTGCCAACCTAAGACCACATTTTCTCGCCCTCTCAAAAAGTGGTACCTCTTTTCCCGCCGAATTTCATGAGCGACCGAGCGGGCGCCTCTGCGCGTGTCGGCCGCGAGGAGGCGGCGGAGGAGACCTTCAGCCGGTTGGCTGCCCATTTGTTTGCGGCGTGAGTTGAAAACCAATGAAAACGTCCCAAAAAAGCAACACTTGAATCGAAAACCCGAAGGCCACATTAGAAGTTGGGTCTTAAAAAAAAAAGGCCACATTTGGGCGTGGCTCAATTTTTTAAGCAGCTGGGGCAAACCGCAGGTCTTCCATATATCTCTTGGTGCCATTTTGGGGATTCCATTTTTGGAGCCAATGCCAGTTGAATTTGGGTCAAAAAAGATGAAACACCCATATTGTTGGTCGAATTCGGAAATCTGATGAGCGTAAACACCATCACCTCTACGGAAGACAAGGGCGACAATTCGCCACAGAGGACGCATTCACGTGCGCAAAAGATTTGCATCTTGTGGTTAGACCCAACAGCGCCATTCAAATGAAGCAAGCGCCGAAGCGGCCGAGCCGGCAGGTGCCAAAGTAAACCACTTCGGATCTAATTCGCCAGTTGTTTTGTTTTTCCTTTTTTTTCGGAAGCCCTGCGTCCGCCTGGAACGCATTCAGGTGAAAGGCTGTCCAGGGCTCGTTCTCCACCCTGAGCAAGAAATGCCCTGCCCGGCCCACTGAAGCACCATGCCCGCACTGCGTCTTCGCATCCCAAAACTGATTGGAAGGGTGTTTCTTCATCTGGGCATGCCAATCCAGAAACGGCTGCGGCCATCTGCGGCTTTGGCACTTACGCGTCAAATCCGAGCCTCGCCTCGGCCGCTGCGGCGCCTGTGGCTTGGGGGGCCCCTCCGCCCGCGGCTTGGCGCTGCAGTTGCAGCTCTGCCCCATGGCGCGCGCTTTCGGTGGCCACGCGCGGCAACCGCGCGCGGTGGCCGGGCGCTTCCGGGGAGCTTGCGCTTCTTTGGGCCGATCACTTTAAAGGTTCGCTTCGGAAAAGTGGTCTGCCCTTGGAAAGGGTTTGCTCAAAGGGATGCCATGGTGCTGAAGACAGAAGTGGGTTATTGGAAGCAGTGCCTGAGGCCCAAGCCGGACTTGAATACATCATCTTTCGCGGCCGTCTTGTCGCCTCTCCGTTACAATAGGAGTCTGCAGCTCAAGGAATGAATCCAACAGCCCATGCTTCGAACCCAATGCCCTTTCACGCATCCGCCCTGTTTTGCCATCCAACATGGCACTTCAACCGCTCCAAAGCCACCCGCTCAGTTTCCTGACGTGCGCAGCAAACAAAGACTGTGTCGCGCCATGATCGAAACCAATTCGCGCCCTCGAAACTCCTCGAAACTCCTTGAGGTGTCGAACATCTCCAAGTGGTCATAGCCGAACCAAATGATCGGACAAAAGAACTGAAGAACACTCCGGGGCGTCAGCTCCCCCTCTCAGGCCCTTGACGGACCGGAAGGCCAAACCCCAATGCGTGCGAAAGAAAGAAAGAAAGAAAGAAAGATAAGGCAAGGCTTGCAATGGCTGTGGCTCAAAAACAGGGAATTCCAAAATGGGTTGCCCGATCGGTAAGTGGAAACATGGACCAAGACCTGCGCTTTGCCCCTCCTGTTTCATTTTGAGCCACACCCAGGCCAGGCCAAGGATAAAAATGCCACATGCTTGCAAATGCCATGCCAAATGCCATGCCAAATGCCATGCCAAATGCCAAGTTGCAAATGCCATGCGCCAAATGCCAAATGTTGCGAATGCAATGCCCAAGGTTTCCCCCCAAAAAAAAAAACGAGATCGATGGCGCTCGCCAGGGCGCTGGCATCTCAGGGCCAGCGAACCCCTCGAACCTTGCCCCGCGCCAGGGGCAGCTTCTCTGGCTCCTGCGCCTGCGACCCGGGAGCAAAAGGCACCCGGAACCGGCGGGCTCGAAAGGCGTATCAAAAGGCTTCGATCTGGTCGGTGAAACGAGAAGAAGAAAAAACAGAAAAGAAGAAGAAAGACAAAAAGCGCCTTGTGCTGTGAAAGCACAACTCTACTTAGTTAATCTTAGTTACTCAAGGCAAGACTTTGTCGTATCCTGCACAACACCCTGAACAGTTCAATGCGGAATGGCACTTTAAAGAAAAGAGACAAACCGTTGAAACTTCAGCGCTGTCTTTGCTTCTCAACTTTGAAGTGAATGAACCCCGCGGCCTCTTGCATCTTGAGGCGGCCCCACATGCCAATGCCCACGACTGTAACCAGGAAGCCCGTCTGCTGCGACAGGCTCACGGGATCCTGGGCTCCGTCACAATCCCACGCCCGCTCGGGGCCCTAGGCCAAGCCGCTCCAAAAGCGGCCCAGGCGAGGCTGACGGCCGCTGCGTCCTGAGAAAGAAAAAAAAAAAAACGGCCCGACCCGAGCCAGCCGGCATGGCAAAAGAGCGAGGCCCCCTTGGCGGCCATCGGAATCGTGATCCGTTCGTCGTGAGATCCGTTGGTGTGCTGTCCATTGAGTTTCCAAGTCTTCGCGTCCGATCGCGCCTTCAGCACGCCCATCATGACGAAGGACAGCGCCGAGAGCCTCTTCAGCGCAACCGCGATGAGGACCTGGAAAAAGTCAGTCCGCGCCCTAGGAGAACTCCCCGAAACAGGAAACATGGGTCCAACTCCTTCACATGTCTCGAATTCCTTACATTTGTCTGCACTTGTTCCGAGTATTGATACTGTAACTAACCCAAAAAGCGGGGTGCATACTTGAGCCTGGGCCCAAGTTATGCGGAGCCAGCAAAACTCACAGCTTGGCAGCACTTTGGAATGCGAGCTTGAGAAGTGGTGAGGGAATCCGCGGAAAGGTCGGGACGTCCTGGACCTCAGGAATCCGCGCCGAGGCGCGTTAAGCACGAAGGCTAGGGAGGCGTTTGCCAGCAGCAGATGCCACCTGCGTTTGCTTGAAGCCAGGCGTGGCGCCATCAACATCACGGCGGCGCAAAGCCAAGGCATTGCTTTTCTCGTTTGCCCATCCCCAAACAGAACCCCCCCGATCGTTTGGAGCGCCCAAAAATCTTGGAAACGTCTTTCCCCAGGCAGACTGAATGAAGCCCCGATGTCGCGCCTCATCTTTCAAGAAAAGGTCGATCGACACATCGATCGAAGAATCGAAAAATCGAAAATTCGAGGCACTGGGCTTTGAAGTCCTCCAGCACCGCAGGCGTCCAGGAGTGCCAGGCTCCCAGCAGCAGAAAGAGCAGGCAGAAGGGCGCCTGGACATCAGCTCCGGCTCCGGCTCCAGGTTCCGTTGCCCGGCAGCCCGTGCACCCATCTGTTTCCCCTGATTTCAGAGGGTTTTCCTTTTGGAGACCCACGAAACCAAAAGAAAGCACCTCAAAAGAAAACCACCGGGATGGGATTAGCACTCGCTTTCCTGGAAAAGGACAAAGCTCAGAGCATCCATCTTGAGGCCAGCCCCGGACAGGACCTCAAATTGCCGGTGGATTCCCGAAAACAAGCCACTTGGCACACGCACAAAGAAACAAAAGGAGGCTGTGGCCCCCTGCAATCTCGGCCAAGAGATTCTTGGAGCACTCCGCAAGTTGCGCAGTGACTTGCAGCACCACGCCCACCAGCCTCAGCTCAGCAGGTCCCCAGGTCCCAAGCCCGGCCCTGGACCTTCAGAGCTTCAGACAAGCGGCGCGAAATGCATCTCTCCGCTCACGCACCTGAGATGGCTCTCGCAGACGTCTTGCTTTTTCTCAAAAGACCTGGTTTGGACATGTCCCTCCCGAGAAAGAGAAGAGAAAATGAAAACTCCGGCGCTTCCGGCGCTTCCGGAAGCTGTTTTCTTCCGGAGAATGGCGAGCGGCGCAGAGCAGCCGGACAGAACGATGCTCAGCACCGAGACCTTGCTCCAGCTGAAGACTTGCCGGCCGCAGGCGCAGGACCTTCGCCGATTCGCGTCGCGGATGTTCGCAAGCCATCATGCAACGCGCCGAGAGGCATGAAGAACAGCAAGGCGACATTGCCCTGCTTGCATAATTGCAAGAAGGCCGCAGAGGAGTGCTGGTAAGCCTGGTTCCTTGGCTTCATGTCATCAACTCTTACAAAAAGTCTCTGATCTTTTGATTTTCTGCTCTGCGGCAAAGAAAAGAAGGACACCGCAAAGAGTAGCCCCAGTGGTGCAATCCACCGCAAGGTCAGGCGGAACTGCTCCTTTGCGCCGGCCATGGATGGGTAGAACCTCAGATTTTCGGCGTGTCAGCCAACCTCCCAAACGAGACAGACAAGCTCACCGCGTGGAGAGACAAGCCGCTGGGGCGCCACCATGTAGAAGCAAAGCGAGAGAATGAAAGTCACCGCCTCTTTTCGCGCAATAGCCATGCTCATGTGTGTATCAAACTAACCTCCAAAAATGGATGGTTCTCCTTTTGGTTTCCCTTCAAATCCACCCAACGAGGTCCCCAAACAAAAACATTCGACAGACCCGCTCCGAGACCCCAGCCGTGTGTATGGCTGTCAAGTGCACGACATGGCAGAACCTCGGCAGAGTTGCAGTGGAAGCACATCACGGAAGCCCAAAAAGGGGGGGGGGGGTGCCCCAAAAAAAGAGCTTCCTCGAATGGTGTTTTGGGAAATGATGTTTGGTTTTTGTTTAGAATGATGAGTTGTTTTAGAGATTCCTCTTTTGAGTTCCATGTTCATCTGAGGAAAGACAAGGACAGGACACCCGAAGATCGTGCCAGCTTTGTGGCAAGAAGCCTTCCCTGCATCAGGTACTTGTTGAAGCATGTGAGCGCAGAACTCGTGAGTATGTACGTACCGCCTCATCCAGCCAGCGGCAAGGATCCATGCACACAAGACCTGAAAATGCCAAGCCGCCAATCACCACAGCTTGCAGAACCTGACAACTCTTTGCTCAGGCAAGCAAATTGCGCGGGACAACAGTGTTGCATCCAATTGACTCACCTTCAGAAAGAAAAAAAGAAAAGCGGTGGGCAAAAAGGTTCGACCTGCCAATGTGGAAACTACAAAACTGAGTTGCTGTGACGAGCTGCAGATGCTGCCGCATTGGGCACAGCTGTGACGGCCGGCGCCGCCGCACGCGCCGGGGCGGTGGCCCCCGGCATGGCGAAAGGGTCCTGCGTCGAGCGCGCGCCGAGCGTCGACTTCACCGAGTTGCGTGCCCGGCCCACTTTTCCCCTCACCCAAACCAAACCCAGGCAAGAAGCGCAGGTGCCAAACGAGCGGCTCGGTCCTGAAAATAGATTTGCCAAAGAAACCTCAGAGTGCAACCATCTCTGGACCCGAAAAGAATGTAAGCATCGACTGAGCGTTCATGAGCTCTGAGGCTAGGTGCGGCAGTTGCTTGGCAGTTCGTCAAGCTTGATTGAGCCAAGCGCAGCAGGTCCACTAGGCTGGAACTGGGACCCCAGCAACGATTTATCTTTTTAACCTGGTTAGTGGAAAACAAAGGCAACCCAAAAAAATCAAAAAGGGGAGCTAATTCTGGGGAAGTCCAGTGATGCGATTTGACCTGCCACTGTCCGCAACAAAGCACTTTCCCTGCCGTAGAGGCCATGGGCTCTTTTCTTCAAATTGCGCGCGTTTCAAGCCTTGGCTTCCAGCATGCTACCGCAGAACCCTTTTAAGCATCGAGAACCGCCCAACGGCATTCCAACCTCGTGCCAAACTCATCCGCTCCCAGGTCAACATCCTCGACCCCTTTCTACGAGAAAGAATCAACTCCTAGCGCGTCCCAGCCATGCACATTGGCCCAGTCGCACAAAACCCACATGCTCACGTGCCCAAACTTCACCCATCTGGAAAAAATGCCCAGATTTTCGCAATAAAAACTATAGCTACCTAAACCCCGAACTCCAAGTTCCGAAGACCCTGCAGTGCTCAAAGATCGGTTGCCATGGTTCAACTCCTCCACCCACCACACCCTTGAGCAAACCATGGAACTTGAACTTGAGATCGTCAACCTGTGCTTACTTAGATGCGGTTGGACGCCAAAATCGCCACCCAGGTGAGCGTCAAGGACCAGAAACCATGCTGCAAATACATGTTGCAAGCGGTGTCACGCGGAGGCTGCCAACGGCATTCAATGCGAGGCACAAGTTTTTGAGGCACGAAGTTGGAGCCAAAATCGCCATGCAAGGGAGCATCAGGTACTCAGCACCACCAAAAGAATACCATGCTGTAAAACAAACATGCTGCAAGTGGCGTCACATCTGTTCGTGGTGGCTGCCAATTGCATTCCGCAAAAGGGCCTGCCACCCCCACGTACGAGTTGCCAGCTTCTGAAGCGCCTTAGACCAGGCTTTGGCCGCATCCCACCTACCTATCTTGCGCCCACCGCAGCCGCAGAGGCTGGTGAGCGTCCGGCATAGGCCAGGATAGAGTCCACTCGAATCGCGTGCCATGGGATGGAATCCACGCCACCTCAGTGCCGGCAGGCGGCCCCAACCTCGCGCCAGAAAGGCGCAAGTTCCCCATGCCAGGATCCGTGGCGAAGGCCACGGTTGAGCCGGCTAACCGCCGACTGGTTGTCCACCACCCAAAATACCTCGCTCTGCGACACCGAAAGGTGCTGGGCCGCCCGCAAAATTGCCACGCTTACGACCGGAAACCTGGCCCTTGATCGCAAAGGTGTCTCCCTGATCGTACGCCGCCGCGCCACTGCAAGCAGCCACCATCCGTGGCGTAGCAGTAGCGTTCGTCCCCTGCCAAGCTTGGGCTAAGAAGTCCACCAGGCCTTCATCTTGCCGGGAGCCCTCCACCTCGGCCACCAACAGACTTGCCTGTGGCGCCGATGTTCATCAAGGCCACGGGGTACGACGAACCGGGTTTCCGGTGTACCACACCGCAATGGTGTAAGCACCACACCCAAACTTGCATGGAACCAGCGTCAAGTCGCGGGGCAGCACGTAGATGGTGAGACCATACAGCTCGGCTGCCGCCTGCAATTCAAACGCAGTTGGCGTAGCCAACTCCTGCAAGTTCTGGGTTGCTTTGCACTGCTGGCACAAGATCCACGACATACTGACTATCGCTGCACAAAGCGTTGAGGTATGCGGGAAGCACTGCACTGCAAGACAGGCCGCCACAAGTTTGGTTTGATTTGCTTTTGCAGAGCAAAGCCTACCTGAACGACTTTGAGCTGTCTCAAGGCAAATCTGGCACTCCAGGTATCCATCATTTGAAGACTCTCAGAATCTGTGGCGCAGGTGTCCGTGACTAAACCTTATGTGGCCTCACGCAACACATGGTTCAGGCATGATGCGCAGCTGCCTGATCTGCCGTACAGTCTTCTCATGAAAAAACCCATTGGAACCGAAACGACGGGGCAGCCTTCCTGGCAGCAAGAACAAACCCAAGCCGGACGTGCCCACCGAGCCGGCAGCCCCGAGGAAGCAAGATAGGGTGTCAGATCGTCTGAAAGATTCACGGTTCCCACTCCACATGTACTTCCGCCAAGCAAGGGCAATCCAAGCGGTCATGAAAAAGACGTGGCTGAGGTTTTTCACAGAGGATACAGCCAACTTCCTCCTTAGGTTTCCGGCTATCTCCTGCCAACTTTTGCGCAGAAGCAACCCCAACGGCTCGGCCACGATTTTGGGCGGTTAGGGTTTGCCCTCAGGCGCCGGGCAAGCTTTTGAAAAAGCGAACAAGCGCCGAAGCTGAAACTAACAAGGCAAGTCGAGCGAGCGCCGAACCACCTGAGACTCAGTAGGAAAAAAACGGTCAAACGGCGAAGACAGTCGACGCAAAGCTTGCGGAAGTCTAGACCCCCGCGCTGCGGAACTTCCTTCGAATCGCCGGGCAGGCTTATGCTTTTGCGCAAGGTATGTTAAAAGCATGCGGGGCGCGCCTGTGGCAGCCAACTTGGGCACCTACCAAATAGGGTCGCTCTTCGGGCACCCTTAAACAAACATGCTGTACATATCACTACCCAACGCAAATCAAAACACAACTGCAAGTCTGCGAAAAGCAAGTCAATGTCTTGCTTAAAAGACCGGCCATCAAGCCGAGACAGGCTCAGCCTCAGCCCTCGTACGATAGGTTTTCGCGTTCTTATGATGGAAGATCTAGGGAAGGCCTGTCAAGATCATCTTTATCCTTAGCTACAGCAACGAAATTGGCGAGATGAAGCCTGATGGAGCGGGACACAAAATGGTTTTCTAACACGGACAGTGGATGCGTCGATGGGCAAAGGGTAATTAGCCCAGAACACAACACATCACTCGAATATTTGTGACACTTTTTCCGAAAGCGTGGCCAGTTTACAGCTACAGGCCCATTCCTCTAGTTTTACACAAACAACGCGGTGTTGTTTGATATCGCAACACTGTGTGCATATGTGTTGTTTTGTCGGCCACGGCTGGTTTGCGTAGCGCTACATGACTTTGTGAGGGCTCCGTGGCTGATTGTTTTAGGAGTGTCTGCACAGAAGGCTGCACATACATACACATGCGTATACACACAAACCAACACACTAATAGACCCCCAGGAATGAATTTGTTGGTTAGTTTTTTGTGGGGAAGCTCTTCGCTATAGATTGGAATTAAACAGGCCCTTCGGGGCGGGGTTTGCCATGGGGTCGGATGGGTTGGGTGAAGAAAATCAGGTTGGAGATGGGGTAAGAACTATTTGGGGGCAACAAACCCTTGGCTTCACTTTAGGTTATTTTTAATTTTCCCGGCTGGCAGGTTGCTTAGCTTTGTTCAGGCTCAATGTCTCCTTCATAAGTGGGCGTCACTCGTTCGACTCTTGCTACTTGGTTACTTCTGGCCTGCTCCAACTAAAATATGCAACATGCCTACTGTTTTTGAGTTCCAAAATGTTTGCTTGGGCATTGAAGCATATGTGCCTTGATGTGCCTTGATTCTGCTAACCCCCCCTTCCCTTCCCATGGGGTGTCAAGCTGAGCGTGTCTTGGGCAACAAGCGCGCCAACTTTGAAATGCATGACGCATGGTAAACGAAGGCTGGTCCCCACTGCCGTGGCTTCCCACCAAGGTCATCTAAGATCGCTTCCGGGCTACAGTTGTGTGAAAAGTCGGCAAACTTCCGGCAGCCCACTTTGATACAGTGGTAATCTTTGAGTACGAAGGGTCTTTGTAAGATACATTAGTATTGCAGTCCTTTTACTGGCCGGTCATTAAGGACATGCTTTTTAGGCCTTTTTTTTGGGTGCTTTTTGTGGACCGAAAACCTTGTTTTTTTTCGGGTGTGCATACTTGTCAAAACAAGTCGTTTTTCGGAAAGGTTTTTTTTGCCGAAAATCTTGGGGAGGGAGGGGGGCCTTGATGTTTGGACAATCCGGTGGCTCAGAGAGTTGTTTTTGCTATGTCAGCTGTTAGTGAAACTTGGCGCACGTGCTGCCATGGACATTTACGGGGTTGACGCTGACGAGCTCGCGCATTGCATGGCGCTGCATGTCATTGAAATGAAGATTGACGAGATTATTGTCAGGAAATGCAGCCGGGTCCTGCGGTTGATCATGGAAAGAACTGGGCGAAGAGCCGCGATGTTTCCTTTCGCAGTCGTTCTTGCTGGTATGGAGCGCGCGCTGATTTCGCCATTGAGCCTCTTGTGCGGGATTTGTGCTCTCCAGGCTCTCCAGGACCAACGCAACTTCCACGCGTCACTGCTGAAGAGCGGGCCTTTTTGGAAGAGTCGACCCAGGTTCTGCACTTCTTGAACGAACAACGAACCTTTTACACCATTAAAGATGCTGTTGGACAATGCTTATTTGACTTTGCGTAAGCTTGTCTGTTTACCCTTGAACTCTGACTGAACTTGCATCTAGAAAAGGCTGCGGAAACACAGCCTTTCCCCTGAGAGCCCGGCTCAGCTT